CCCAGACCAGTGTCCATGGTTTTGGAGTTTGACAATGAAACTTTCTAGTGTCACTCTTGTGATGCAATTGCCAGAAATCATAACAATCGTCACACAAATCACTATTTTTGTCAACCCAGACCCCAAGTTGGTGCATTTGTTCACAGCTATGTGGGAAAGCTTCAAAGAAAATTTTACCTTGAGGGTTGGGAAGAGACATGGAAGGGGGGAAGGGGGAGTATTATTTTATGGTTTCTCCTAAAAGGTCATACCTCAGTCATGATTTTCTTTCTTGGGTTCTTTCTGCAGAGGACATGAATTTTTCTTCATGTAAAAGATACTGACCGGCTTTCTTATCAATAATTTCAGAATTAACACCAGACCTCAATGATGAAGATAGTAGACAGCAATACAATTTAACAAACTTGACACCAGAAACTCAACAAGCAGATAATTCCCTTGTTATAGAAAATAAACCACCAGAAAAGTCAGAGAAAAGGAATAAAAAGAAATCATTAAAAGCTAAGAAAACTAATAAAAAAAGAAAAAATTCTCCTAAGAAAGGTGTTGCAGTGAGTGGTATGTTTGCAAGACTGGTTGGACGTGGGCATACAAATGAACAAGAAGGTAACTTAATATTAATGTAATAACTTTTAATTACCCATTTAATAATAATAACTTTTAATTACCCATTTTATTCAGGGTGATGGGTAGTCATATTTAACTTATCCGGAGGGAAATGCCAGATTTCTCTATAAAGAGAACTGTCAACCACAGGTCAACATACGTGTTTGATTTCTGCATTTTACATGCCCTGTACATGTAAAGCAGCCCATTAACTAAAGCAAAAATTACAGTCCTCAGAGCATTGATTGTTGTCAGATATATCATATAAACCAAGGAGGTATAAAGATACAAGACTGGTTCCAAAAGTTGCAGCGTTGTTAAACTTTTATATTAAGTCTTACCATGTTCATCTCTTAAAATGATAACATGTGTATTCATTAAATAAAAAGCACTAAAAATAATCTTTATTATTATCCCATTGTATATAATATTATGCTTGCTGTAAATATACATGTATGTTCTAGTGACTTGTCAAAGTCATTACAATCATATCCATATCATAGTAGATTTAATTAAACTACAACCTACACATTCAGGCACAGTGATAACATTTTTAACAAGAATATTTTGTGTATTTTTAGGCCAACAAGCCAACTCAGATCAAAAGGTGAAAAATGGACTACATTTACAACAGACAAGAGACACTTCCCCAAATAAGTACCTAAGTGTACAAAAACTCCGAGCAGCTTATGCTCCAAAGAAACAAGAAATCAAGAACAACAAAGCAACTGTTCTTTTACCACGGGTCTCTAACACTAGCTTAACTAATGACAACACAAGGAGTTGTACCTCTTCTCCAAGGAAACAGGAACAAGAACAGGAAAGCATTTCTACTGCTCCGTATCTATCATCCCCACGTAAACTACTGAACTCTCATGATGACAACAGAGTGAAGAAAGTTTATCTATCTGAAACCCATTCTGGAATGATCACAGGGATACCATGCGCCCCACCCAGTACACCCACTGTGGGTATGTAGTGCTGCCTTATTGTTCACAAACAGTACTAGTTTGTGAGTTAGTTAGAATTTGTTTATAAGCTTCAATAATACCCAATGTGCAAGTACTTAACAACCAAACTTCTTCCTATAGACTCCTCCTGTTATAAAGACAGACACTTATGACTTTGTCTCTTTGGTGTCACATACAGTGTACTAAGGAAGTTTGACTCTCTCTTAATGGACACCACTATTAAGGACACCTCTCTTATATGGACACCCAGAGATGGTCCATCCCTATCTTTAATTTTGGGGAACATCTCTCTCAGACAGGCACTTAACAGGTTTCAGAGGCATCAGTCTAATAGAGAGCCTGGACTAACTAGTCATATCACATGTACAGCTGTACAAAGAAAAAAAGTATTCAGTGTACACTTGTTACATTACTCCTAAGTGTTACAACAAAAAAATTCAACTACCCTGTACTGGCAATTTTTCCTTAATATTAAAACCTAACTTGATAATTTTATTTTTTTAGATGAACTTAAGAAAGTGGAGTACATTCCATCCCTGACAGATGTCAAGGTCAGCAAATAAATTATTGCATATACTGTCCAGGCATGTAAATGATATGGAACTTATTAACAGCATAAAATAACCTGATGGAACTATTAAACAACATACCACTATATGAACCTGTATATTTACAACAATTTTTTTACTTTTACATAATGTGTACACAACATCAACATTTCAATGTTTTCTTTCAGAGCCAAAGAGCTGTAAAATCAAGACTAATTAACTTAGGTAAGTTGTGACAAGAAACAGAAATGTTTATATGTTGAGATATTCTAGGCAAATTAAGCATGAAAAGAAGATCATGCACAATAAGACTAATCTTATCCATCTCACCTGTCAGTTTTGCGGCAAAGCATGTTTTTCAGCTCTTCCACTCCTTTTATTACCTCTTACTTGACTCAAAAATCTAGGGGCTCTTTTTCATAGTCTGGAGATGATCAGAAAAAAAAATAATAAAAACCAAAAGTTACCAAAACCAAGTTAAATTACTAATTTCTACAATTTACTATTTTAGGAAATAAATTAAGGGCAGAAGAGCAGAAGAAGAAAGAAAAAGCTATGAAGGAAGAACAAAGAAGAGCTTATGGCGCAATTTTACAGCTGAAACAAAGACAACGAGCTGAGGTAAAACTTACGTTTTTCCTTGATCTCAAAACCTCTCCACAATGGCCATCTTAGGGAGGACAGAAAAAAGTGGCCTTTATGAAGAGATGATAAAGAAGTGGCCATTGTGGAGTGGATTAAACAACAAGAGTTGATGTACATGTATGGATTATTTTCATGCCCAGCGGGACTAAAAAAGCTGTGGCCATGGTGGAGAAGTGGCCTTTAGTGAAGGTTTGACTGAACGTCCATTATATGTATTCTTCTTAATAAGTTGATAAATGAACATAGAATTAATACATTAACTTATATATTTAATTTGCAAGGATAATTTTTTTTTTCACTTTTCATGATCATTTTCCGTTTTGCTCCAAAATGTATAGCTTTAAAAACAGAACACAAAAAATCCCCCAAAAAAGCTAAATGAAGAGATCAATTTTTGTCTTTTCCCCTGTAATAATTTGTCACATGATATCAATCTTCAGATCAGCCGTGATTTATATAAGACAAAGTCTATGAAGGACATCCAACTTAACGTGGTAGTTATTTTTTGGTCTCACTTATTTTTTATTTTTCCATTGTTTTTGCGTATGGTAATGTACGCTAATGAATTTGAAACAAAGAAAAAACGGAAATTGACTAAAATTAAAAATTAGCTGCAGAAAATTTTATAATATACTGCACTTTTCAAAAACACGCGAACTCTGAAGTTGAAAAGCCAACTGACAGTTATGTTTTTTCGCTGCTGTCAGTCATCTAAGCAGACTTCTTGGGAAAAAGAACTTTACTGATAAACGGGTTCAAAACGTCATGATTTGTGATCTATTCTTGGTGGATTTAGATCCATTTTGTGTGTTTGTGTGTTTCATGGTTTGTCTTGTGATTGTAAAAATGATTGACGGCAGCATAAAAAGCAATTGTGAAGGCAACTTTCAAACTTTAGAGTTTGCCTGTTTGTGAAAAGCGCAGTAATAGAAATAAGGAAAGTCGCTAAATGAGAAAGGCAAAAAACATGTCTGGGAGAGACGTGTGCTTTTTCCCACGCATCTCAGAGGTCCAAAAATTTTGCTGTACTAATTACCTACAACCTTGACTACAAGTCTATGATTTTATTCTCCATTCCCTGTAATAAGGAACACTTTTTACTTCATGACACTTTTAACATTTATAACTGGATTCCTTTGACAGATCTATGCTTTAAACAAGGTGATGACAGAACTGGAGAATGAAAACTTCAGGAAGTTCATGGAG